TTTTTTTTTTTTTTTTTGGAGACATAGTGTCTCTGTGTAGTGCTGGCTGTTCTGGAACTCACAGAGGTCTGCCTACCTCTGCCTCTCAAGTACTGGGATTAAAAGTGTTTGCCATTACTGCCTGACCTAAATTTTTTTTTTTTTTGAGACACGGTCTCACATTGTAGCCCAGGTTGACTTTGAATTTATTATGAGGCTGACTTTAGAGTCCAGGTAACTCATCTACCTCAACCTCCAAAGTGCTAGGACTGTAGATGAGATCCACCACACCTGGCTTTGCTGGAAATTGTTAAGACTTGTAACGGGTTTCATTAGACTGAAACAAGGAATTTTTTTTTTTTATTAAAGTGGCTCAGTTTTTTTTTATAAGAGTTTTTTTCAAACATTTGTTTATTAATGTATTTGTCTATATGTTTGAGGGTATATGCATGCCATGTTCTTGTGTGGAACTTAACAGACATTTGGTCCCAGTGGGCCATCAATCTTGACAAGTACCTTCACCCCAGGCTTAGTTGTTTTAAATGACCATTTTGTTTCTAATTTAAAAAAATTTTTCATTTTATGTTCCGAATTGCTGCCCACACAGAGCTTGGAGGACTCCTGAAGTATGTACGACCTTTCTTGAATTCCATCAGTAAGGCTAAAGCAGCTCGTCTGGTCCGATCTCTTCTTGATTTGTTTCTTGATATGGAAGCAGCTACAGGGCAGGAGGTAAGTTATAATAATGACAGGAAGTAGATAATATAATAAAAGAGTGTTTCAGTGAAAGATGCCTACTTCACTGTGGTTCTGTGTGGAAGGGATAGCTGGGAGAACGCTCAGGACTTATCATGTCAGTTTCTCTTTGTTACAGGGCATTTGATACTTTGAGTCTGTTCCATGCTTTGCTTTGTAAGTGGAGATTGTCAGTGGTCCCTGGAATCCTCATTACATCAGGGTCACAAACTGATTCTTGTCTTTGAGGTATTGTATTGCCACACCTTTGTAATGTTTTCTGTGTCTGTGGTACTTTTCATCTTGTGTCACAAAGTTTCTTATGAGCACAATTAAGCCTTGTGGCATTCTTTCTTGTGTTTTGTGTGGCTTATGTGCCTTTATTAAGGGTGACCATCCATCTGTTGTGTTTCATGTGTTGGGAAGTGACTGATGTTTCTATACGTGTTACTTACAGGTTTAAATTGGACTTTGAGCTGTTCAAAATAGATCTTTTCTGGAACTCTAGTGTTTATAGTAGTACTATAGCCAATGGGGATACAGTTGGAAAAACGCATTAATACTTTCATGAGTCTTCTATTTTAAAAGGGGAAGTAGATAATATATAATGTGTATGGTAATATGTAAAGCCAGGGGCTGGAATTGCCAGTTGGTTGTGTGTTTAATTGTCTCCTATCTTAGGTGGGCAGGCAGGTGAAGACAAAAGTTCACAGTAGTATATTGGTTGGAGTGAGGGATTTCAGAAATTGAGGATACATGGATCCCACTTTGGAATTATATTTTGTTAATTCTGGTTTTTTGCTTTGATGATGCTCTTTTTATTTTTTAGATTTATTTATTTTACGTGTATCAGTATTTTGTCTGCATGTGCGTTTGCATACCACGTGTGTATCTGATACCCTTGGAGGGATAGAAGAGGGCATTGGATACCCTGGAACTAGTGTTATGGATGGTAGTAAACTGCCATGTGAGTGCTGGGAACTGAACTCAGGTCCTCTTGAAGAACAGTAAGTGCTCATAACCACTGAGCCATCTCTTCAGCCCCACTCTGATGATTCTTTGAAGTCAAGCTATAAGCTTCAGTTGTAGAACAGTCTTCAAATTTACTTGTTTCTGGTTTATGACAGTAGGTCAAAATAGATAATATTTAGATAAATGCTTTTGAATCAAAGTATTATAGTTATTTTGGTGAATGAAAGAAAACATACTTTTTAGAAATGTTGATCTTATCAAGCCCTCAATTATTTTCTAAACTGTTTTTTGTATTCATGAATTCTTTTGTTTGAATTAGAATGCCTTAAAAACAGGTTGACCAATCAGTGTTGGCTTCCAACTAATAAATGCTCCTTTGAACTTTTCATATTAAAAATTATTTAGACCATTTCTTTGCTCACTGAGGTCATTAGATTTGTTCCTCCCTTTAACAGCGTTGACTGGGTAGAACCGGTTTAGTTCACTCTTTTACTCCTTTTCTTCTTCATTTTTTTTTCTTCTTCATTTTTTTGAGACAATCTCACTTATGTGCCTTGGTCAGCCTGGAGCTCACTGTGCAGACTACCATATTGGTCTGGAATTTAGAGAGATCTGCCTGCCCCTGCCTCTGGAGTGCTAGGATCAAAGGTGCGCATCAATGTGCCCTTAATCCTCAGTCCTTTGTGGAAGTCTCCTCAGTTTATAATTTGGTGCCCTTTTTTATTTGATCAGTGGGACTTTTGTTATATGGCTCTATGTCTGGGTAGGCTCTCTCTTAACTGTGTTTATACATTGTAATTGTTTGTTTTCTCCAACTAATGACCATTTTTCCTTTTCTTAGAGTAAAAGGAAGTTCTCAGACAAGTTGTTCTTTTAGAAAATTAGTTAAATAATTAATTTGTCCTTTCTTTGAGATGTCTCACTATAGCTGTGTAGACCAGCCTGGTCTTACTACCATAGAGATCCTCCTGTACCTTGGCAAAGATATATCTTCACAGTGTAAACAAATATTCTGAAACATTGATTTCTGCCCACCTTTTGTTTTGGTTTTTGAGACATAGTTTGTCCTGGAACATACTCTGTAGACCAAACTGGCTTTGAACTCAGAGCCATCTGCTTCTGCCTAGTGCTGGGATCAAAGGTGTGTACCACTACCACCTGGCTCTATTTATTTATTTATTTATCTATCTATCTATCTATCTATCTATCTATCTATCTATCTATCTATCTATCTATTTAAGATTTCTGTCTCTTCCCCACCGCCGCCTCCCCTTTCCCTCCCCCTCCCCACCACCTGGCATTATATTAGTTTTTCTTTTTAGCTACTTAGGGTTTTTTTTTTTTTTTTATCTAGTTTGTTTTTTGGATTTTTTTTTTTTTGATACTGTCTTTACTGTATATAGACTGAACTCAGGTCCTCTTGAAGAACAGTAAGTGCTCATAACCACTGAGTCATCTCTTCAGCCCCACTCTGATGATTCTTTGAAGCCAAGCTATAAGCTTCAGTTGTAGAGCAGTGGATATCTAAGTTCAAGATCTCTTGAACTCAGAGATCCATATGCTGAGATTAAAGGTTTGCAATACCACTATCCGGCTTATTTTCAAAGTTATTTTACCAAATAGTATTCGAGAATTTTGTATCTCTCCTGCCTCTACTTGATCCTTCAGGTGCTCTCCACTGTCAGCTGTAGGTAATTCATGGTTTTTTGGAGTACAGTATACTACAGCAGCTTCATCCTCCCTGTTCTGAATGCTGTTGAGTGCTTGGTTTGCTGAGGTTGTCTACCTCTCATGCTATGCATTTTCCTTCTGTAATCCATCTCAAGTTCACTTTCTTGAACATTTTTTCCTGTTAATACTGGTGTGATCTTTTTTTCAGTGACCTACATTATATTTTTGTGTGTTATATTTATTATTATTTTACCTTATATGACAATTATGCATCTGCCTTATCTTCTTTAATACAGTCTTAGTCAGGGGAATTATTCTATATCTTGTGGTAACTCAAGGCTTTCTTTATTACCAATATATTTTGAATACTTAAAAACAATTTTTTTAGATTTATTTTATGTGTATAAATGTCTTGCCTGTATGTGTGTATGTCTGTATATATATGTGTGTGTGTGTGTGTGTGTGTGTGTGCATCATGTGTGTCCAGTGCCAGAAGAAGTCAGAAGAGAATATTGGATCACTGGAACTGGAGATTAGAGGACGTTGTGAGCTCCCATGTAGGTGCTCAGTACCGAACCCACGTTCTCTGCAAGAGCTGCCAGTGCTCTTAATAGCTGAGCTGTCTCTCTAGCGCCTAGAGTAGTTTGTCTTAAAGGAATTACATATTTAGTACTTGAAGGAGTATACAGTCAGGTCTTATGTGCTCAGAAAGTACTTTCTTAAATTAAGATCTGTGTTGGTTTTTTTTTAACTCATTGATTTTATATGTATGGATGTTTTGTGTATCTGTGCACCAGGTGCAGTGCCCTTAGAAGCCAGAAGAGGTTGTCAGATCCGTGGGAACTAGATAGAGTTAGACAGTTGTGAGTCCCATATGGGTACTGGAGATTGAATCTGGGTCCTCTAGAAGAACAGACAGTGCTCTTTTATCGCTGAGCCATTTCTAGATTTAATGGGTATATGAGCATATCTCACTTTTCCTTTGTCTGGGTGACTGAAAAGTTTTTGTTGTGGGGAAATTGATGCAGTGTTTATTCTTGCCTTTGTAAAGTTTTCTGGGTGATGTGAAAAGATGGAGAAGGCAGGCGTAGATGGGTTAGGCGTAGGTATAGTAGTCTTTTTTTTCCTCTCTCTTCTTGAGACAGGGTTTCTCTGAATAGCTCTGGCTGTCCTGGAACTCACTCTCTATACCAGGCTGGCCTGCCTCTGCCTCCCAAGTGTTGGGATTAAAGGCATGCACCACCATGCACGGCAACAGCTGTAATAGTATTGAGGCCTGAGGCAAAGTTGGAGTTTAAAACTATTGTTAAAAGAGCTAGACTTGTTAAAGAGCTTTTCATCAAGAATATGAGAGGGAAGAGGGACAAGATGGCTCACTGGGTAAAGATGTTTGCTGCCAAGCTTGATGACCTGAGTTTGATCCTTGGTGTCTACCTGGTGGATGGAAACACTAAATCACTCAGACAAAATAACTATGTAGCAAGCTCCAAGACCTTTTAAATTTTTGCCTGGGACTAGTGCTGGTTTTATAATTATCATTATAGATAAAGCAAACCATATGCTCTAATTGAAAATAGATTTCAAGGAGGAGTGGTTGTGGCACACGCCTTTAAATCCCAACACTTGGGAGGTAGAGGCAGGTGGAGCTCTGAATTTGAGGCCATCCTGATCATACTATAGAGTGAGTTCCAGGACAGCCAGGACTTACACAGAGAAACCCTGTCTCAAGAAACCAAAACCAAACCAAAACAAAAAGCCAAGACAAAACAAAAAAATCAACAAGAAAAAGAAAATAGATTTCAAATTCATTTGTTTCTTTCTTTTTTTTTAAGATTTATTTATTATGTATACAACATATGCCTTGATGTATTCCCGCACGCCAGAGGAGGGCGCCAGACCTCAGTACAGATGGTTGTGAGCCACCACGTGGTTGCTGGGAATTGAACTCAGAACCTCTGGAAGAGCAGTCAGTGCTCTTAACCTCTGAGCCATCTCTCCAGCCCTCAAATTCATTTGTAAAAGCAAAGAAACATTCTTGTTCTAGCATAGTGTCAGTAGTGATCTTAACTGAAGTCTTGATTAAGGCAGAAAGAACTCTGGAGGTAGGGAAAATTCTGGTCCTAGTAGCCAATACATGATCTTGTGAAAATCACTTGTCTCTTTTAGTGGTATTTTGTTTATTATTATTATTATTTTAATTTTATGTGCATTTGTGTTTTGCCTTTATGTATGTCTGTCTGTGTGAGGGTGTCAGATCCCTTGGAACTGGAGTCACATGTAGTTGTGAGCTGCTTTGTGGGTCCTGGGAATTGAACCTAGGACATCTGGAAGAGCAGCCAGTGCTTTCAACCACTGAGTCATCTCTAGCCCCTCAGATATTTATTGCAGTACTGTATTTATAAAGGAATGTACCAGTTTCTCAGCATTCATTTTGTGAATTTGAAAAAGTATTCCAGGTAAAACTGATGGACATTTCTTAGCCTCACAAGTCACATGTGACTTAAGATTATTAAATTTTCCTTGTTAAAAATATTCAACAAAATATTTCAGTTTGCCTGGTCTACAGAGTGAGTTCCAGCAAAGCCAGGTTTCTTCATAAGAAACCCTGTCTCAAAAAAAAAAAAAAACCAAAATTACACACAAACACACACACACCATGTATATATTACTTATATTGTAACTATATATAACATTATATATACTATACACTATATATATACTATACACTATATATATACTATACACTATGTACATACACACATATATACATGCCCATATCCTGTCTGTCTGTCTGTCATCTATCTATCTATCTATCTATCTATCTATCTATCTATCTATCTATCTATATTCAGTTCACCCATATCATGAATATATCTTGAGTTTGGCTTTTCAGAACACAACACAAACTCTAAGGTTGTGATTGATTTGATTTGCCTTTAGTTCAGTTTTTCTTCTGTTTTGCCATTGTTTGAAGTCTGTTGTGCTTAGCATTAAAAATTAGATAGCCACCAGGGGGCTTCAGTGAGGAGTTAGGAAGGTTTCGGCTTCAGTGAGGAGTTAGGAAGGTTTCATTGATCTCATTGTAGTGAATTGTCTTAATGTTATTTTTGTTTGCTTAATGAACTTGTCAATCCTTTCATGTTAGATTATTTCCTTCAGTTTTCTTCCCTTACAGCATGTCTCAGGAGAACTTTGCATTTATATAAGAATCCATTGCATTAGCAGTTCTCCAGAAAGTTCAGTTTTCTTTTCACTGCCTTGTGTTCTTTAATCCTGAATAGCAGCAACCTTAATAAAAACAAAAACAAAAACTTAACTCCTGGAAGCCATAGAAAAGCTACAGTCTGTCAAAGCTAGGATGTTTTGGGTACCCAAAGGCATGTACTGTCTCACATAGAATGCTACATTTTGTTACTTTGTATATCTTACTCTTTGGGTGCCAGACAGCTTGGGACTCAGAACTCTTTTAAATGTGTTAGGCAATTCTATGCTCTTCCTTTTTACAGTATCTATTTTTCCTGTATGAATGATAATAAATTGGCTAGTTGTGGTTAATGATTAAGAGCAAGCTAGATGTTTTGAGCCTTACCGCTAACTTTTAGGAACAAGACGTTTTGTTTTTTTTTTGCAGACAGGGTTTTTCAGTATAACAACTCTGGCTGTCCTGGAACTCTGTTTGTAGACCAGGCTGGCCTCAAACTCAGAGATTCTCCTGC